GCTGTCAACTGATCGGTTGTATAACTTACCATGTTGAGCTCTTCAAACTTGGCACGGGTCAGAGTCTCAGAGAAGTCTTCTCCCTCAAAGAAGGACTCGATCTCAATGCGTGCCTGGTGCTGGGCAGACAGCGCCCTCTTTGCCTTCTCAACCTCACGACGCAGCTTCTGCACAGCGCGGTTGTCTTTGCGCACATCCTTGCCAGTCTTCTTCTTGTACAGCTTGATGAAGTGCTCCATGACACGCTGGTCGAAGTCTTCGCCTCCAAGATGAGTGTCACCGTTTGTGGCCACCACTTCAAACACACCATTGTCAATGGTCAGAAGGGAAACGTCGAAAGTGCCGCCACCCAGGTCGAACACAAGAATGTTCTTCTCGCCATCCCTCTTGTCCAGACCGTAAGCAATGGCTGCAGCAGTTCTAAATAATACAATAAGGAGAATATATTTTAGTAGAGGAAGAGAAGGAAATATTTTTTACAATTTCAAAAGAATTATGTATGGATAAATAGTCACTTAAGATACTTACGGCTCATTGATGATTCTCATTACATTCAGACCAGCGATGGTTCCAGCATCCTTAGTGGCCTGGCGCTGGGCATCATTGAAGTAGGCAGGGACGGTGACCACAGCATGGGTGACCTGAGGAAAAGATAAAAACATTAGATTCAATTACACATTTATTTAGGAGTGGTATATATTTTTATGTATATTCTTTGACAATTTTTTGTACCTTCTTTCCCAGATAAGCCTCGGCAGTCTCCTTCATCTTAGTCAGCACCATGGCAGAGATCTCCTCTGGAGCAAATGTCTTCATCTGGCCACCACCAATGTCAACCTGAATATGAGGCTTGCTCTTCTTCTCAGTAACCTGAAGAGGAACATTGAACAATATTAGTATAACAAGTATGTCGCTCAAACATTACCTGAAGACCGTTAGAACCTAAAACAATAACTTTAACATCAAACTATCAAGAGCAGAAACTCACCTTGAAGGGGAAATACTTGAGGTCCTGCTGCACAGAGGAGTCCCCCCAAGCACGCCCAATCAACCTCTTGGCATCAAAGACGGTGTTCTCAGGGTTAGAGGTCAGCTGATTCTTGGCAGCATCACCAATCAGACGCTCACCCTCAGCAGTAAAGGCCACATACGATGGGGTGATGCGGTTACCCTGGTCATTGGCGATGATCTCCACACGGCCATTTTTGAACACTCCAACACTACAGGAAAAATTTTAGAAATGATTACTCAAAGGGAAACAAGTGTTATTTCAATTTCAAAAGTTGCATCATTACATCATCTTTTAAAACAATCAAGCCAGAAGGAATTTTTTTTTTTTTCTTACCATGAGTAGGTGGTCCCCAGGTCGATTCCAACCACAGTCCCCACACTCTCCCTCTTATCGTCGTCGTCGGCAAACACGGTGCCGGCCACCAGCATTACAACCCACAACAGCTTCATCTTTGCTTGTTTCAGACTCAGACCTATAAAGAAATCTGCGGAGAGGAAATACATTGTAAAAAAATTGTGTCCTTGCGTACATGACGTGACGCTCTCTGCCTCAGTTCACATAGCTACAGCTATTAGTACAGATAATAAATCTCCAGAAAATGTAAAACGTGTACACGTTGAAAGAATATGGGTAAAATGGGTGGAGCACCACTGCCTCTTCGGAACCAGACTACATTTTTTTCCCCCATCCGCCGGTAGCTAGCTAACCACGTTAGCGTGTCTAGCAGACATGTGAGGGGGAAATACTTTGCCATAACGAACACTAAAAAGTACATTATTTTTGCATCGGTATACTGAAATCACATCGAATACCCATTTGATTTTAAAAAGCTATGGCAAAACCTCGTGTGAATAAGTCACCATCGTCAAACGTTAGCTTAGCTGGCACCATCGTAATGAAATGTCTTAAAATGACGTCCAGCGTTGAAGAAAACACCAAATACTTGCACTCGCATTATCATATTCACAACAGTGTTTACACATACCTTACTCGTAGTATTGTCAATGAATTAACGGCCTTGACGTTGCCTCTACTGGTAGTAGCCTCTTCTTGCGAAGTGTGTGTCTCTTAATTTGCCTATTCTGTAATCTTTCCTCTGTGAAATGATGTTGAATGAACCGTTCTTTCTCCATATATAAGCCGTCACTTCTTCCCCGTCGTGGAGGCACGCGATTGGCTGAGCAGCTGCTCGTTGGAAGGCGCTGATTGGTTCCACCCGGCACGCTGGAAGCCGCTGATTTGTGCACATCCAGTCCAGGCGACGTCACGACTTTTGCCCACTGCGCCGACGCTGATTGGCTGTCTGTCGAGTGGATTGAGGTACACTGTTGGAGGAGCGACACGCCAGTCTAGAGATTGAGGAAGGGTGCATTTTAACATTGTGTAACATTACATTTAAAGTTAGAGCTGGTTTTTTTTTCCCCCATAATAATGGCCCCACATGTATTGGATGACATATATTCTCATGTTGCTGTAGTTTCAAGGAGTGCACCTGTGTTGGTTCTGTGTTGGTATCATTAGTAGTAATAATAACTCACTGCAGTGAGTCAGACATGTAAAAGCTCTGTGTAATAGCCTGTCTGTCCTTAGAAGCCAAATAGCAAATGTTACATCAGATTAACTTGATTGTATGGACTTTCATCAGAAAATGTAAAGCTGATATAAACACTTGCAACTCTGGGTCCAAACATCCACTTTTAAAGGGAAGCATTAACCTGCAGTGATTTGATTATCAAATTTTAACATTGACACTGAAGCCTTTAGTGTCTCAGTGATCACATATTGATCTTTAATGTATTTGATTAGTTTGTGCACTCCAGGTTTAGCAGGTTACAGCCCACATCAAACAAAACCACATACACTGTATTCTTTTTTGCAGTCTCCTATAACAAAAGTATAAATAGGTCAAGGTTAGGTAACTGGTTGCCAAAGCCTCACTTGAGTCTATAGGAACCCTTTTAAATGTGTTTGTCTTGTGTATGACGTTCACCTGTTCTGTTTATTTTCAAACACATGGCCCTCTTCTGTTGTAGGCCTAGTCATCCTTAATACTTGTATGTCCGGCTAAATATGAGAAACACTGAGAAAAATACTCTTAAAACAAAACAAATCGGCCAATGAGATGAGATTAATTCAACTACTTAAAATCTTCTTGCATCACGGATCATTGTATTGATATTATTGCAGTCATTGGCTTTAAGATACACTCACTCATTTCTACATTTCTTAATAAGTAAATCAGGAAATTTGTAGAAATTACTTGGAGAAAAAATAGAAAATCTGTAAAACAATTTTGTTTGAGGGATTGTTTGAAGGACTAAAACCAGCATAACTTCTAGAAAATTACAAAAACTGTTGATTATTTTAAACTAGATTCTAGAAAATTCTTGAATAAGTCAATTTGTCGTATTAGAAACAGGTGAAATAAGGGGGTTGTAAACAGTTCTCAGTGGTGCTCTTCCTTGGAGGCTACTCAAGCTTTGACATGTCCCCTGCTTTCTGCTAACCTCTTTCACCACCAATGAGTTCCTCTTGCCCGACCCAAGGCCTTCTCTGGGCTCTGCATGAGTGTTGTGGGTCAGACTGGAAGAAATGCAGAACTGTAACTGCTGTGTCCTCGGAGGGATTCTGGAGCACCAACTAGCCTAGAAATGAAGTTTTTTGACAAGCTACAAATGTAAGCATGAGGAGAACCTTGGAGCAGGTCCCTTCTTTTTAAATATTTTCCTTTTTTCTCTTTTTCCCTCAACTAGAAGGAAGAACCATTGCTGGCTGAATGCTGGAGGAGACGATCAGATAACAGAATGACTGACCTCCAGTATCTCAGTGATCTCCAGCAAGACACTTATTAATACAGATATTAATCACAATTAAGATTAGCCCTAAAACAGCATTATTATGTATTTTAACAAATCACCAGTATTGGGGTTTTCTTGTTGTCATTTGTTGTTTTATTTTGTTTCATTGTGGATATTAATTTACAAATATTTTTTAAAATTCTCTAATTTCAAGTTCAGACTGCAACCTGCAAACCAGACTACTTTCAATTCTGAATTTCTTGCCTTCCCTACATAGTTGTAACTATTAGTATAACTATGACTAACAAAAATATGACACATTTCTTTGTACAGAAATAAAGATTTTGCATGGATTCTTTTCTCATCATAGATGTGTTTTAACATAAAGTAGTGTGAATATGGAGCTAAAATTGAAGACTTTATTGAATGTTGTTCATTGATCTGCACTGCAGTTCATTGTAGTTAAATAACTTCAAGTTTATTCTTCATATACCAATAATTATTTTTTTTTAAATATAGTAGTTTTTCTTTTTTATCATACAAATAGGAGATGGTATTGATTTATTATTAGAATTTTTTAATGGCCCTGTAAGTTCTTCCCAGTGTCAGATTTCACCCAGGTCTCTGCAGACATCAATATCCATTGATATGTAAATAAAATTGCATGTAGGTAAGGTTGATAAGAGACTGAAATCACCATGTATGAATGACAAAGTGTTTCTCTGATCATCTGTTTTAGCAATCTGATAGACTGTAGTGTCATAGATAGCCTAATGCATGGTGCTCAGCATTGCACAAATAAACATATTAGACTACAACAAGCAAAATGAAAATAAAATAAATACATTTCTCATAAACGAAATAAAGATAGATTTCCGTGATATTTATTAACTGTTCCCGTTTCTTGAATGTTTATAATAGCCGAATAAGTAAAGAAGCCCATAAGAACAGAAGACAAGGAAGAACACGTAACGTTAACAAAAATCAAGTCACCATAGGATACATTTTGTCGTAAACATTGTTAAAAGTATCAGACACCTTATTTTTCCAACCGAATACATATTGACTCGATAAAAGAAACAGGGATTTGTAAATAAAAAATGGCCATAAAAACAATAAATTGGTTATATTTGTGCCCAACTAATCTAAGTGACAGTGTGAGGCCCAGCGCCCCCTAACGGCAGAGACACCAACGGACAGCAAACTGATGACGTGGTTCGGTCCGTTGACCAGAGCAGCAGTATGGCCGACCAGAGCAGGCAAATAAAACTCGCTGCAGCTAAGAAAAAGGTAAAGTATTTTACAATTGAGCCGGGTTTATACACCGGGAAGCACTGGTCCTGTGTTTCTTCTACGAGTTCGTGTTGCCGGTGTTTCTTTCGTTTTGTTATACATTTCTTTACGGAGCAGGGGTGTTGTCATTACACGTCGTCCGACCTCTACGTTTTCACTCGTCCCACCTCTCTCGCTCCTCTTGAGGCTTTAATGCGCAGGAGAGACCGGTGCTTCTTCTGGGCCTCTATTGATAGCATTAACTTTCCTAAGATTATGTTGACTATTTTTAGTCCTTAAAGGCATTTACAGCATCCCACGCTGTTTAGTTAGTCAGTGATTAACTTAACGTACACTCTTTGCCCATCGGCTTCTTGACAGTCTCTCTAGCTAACGTTAAGTGTGCTTATTAGCAAACCTTTACGTGCTAACTAAGGCAAGTTAACGTTAGCAAGCTGGCTAACCAATGAATAGTTTGCTGTGTGTGAGTGTAAAGAATGCCACACTGCAGTCGGGCTGCTTTCTGCCCTGTCTGCAGGATGGCTCAAGAAAATGGCAAACAAACAGTAATTTTATAACAGACACTGAGCTAGCATTGTAGCACAGTTAGCTGGATACAATGACGGGGACTGTTTTGACAGCTGACACCCCTCTTTCCTGTCCTGCTGTGTGCTAGCGAGGTGTGTTGTTGGGCTATTCAGAAAGATGGCCTTATCAGCTGTGATATGTTAGCTTCAGGAAGTGACTCGTCAGCATTTCTCGCTGCCCTACAAGCTCCGTGGATGAGTGGTGATGATATTTGACATTTCTCTGCAATTCAACCCCATTGTTTTAGAAATGGCAGCTCCAGTAGTTCCCCTATGATTCCCCCTTGGCTCCCTTTTATAGCTGTCACAGGGCCCCATGCCCAAACACACGTAGACAGGGGAAAGTGTGTTTTAACGTTCACATGGATGATCACAGTTTCCTGGAAGTTTATAGCTTCATCTTGTTTGGTTTAGTAACAGTAATGTTGAACAAGAAAGTCAAAGTGACCGTCAGTAACATGTTGGCAGTGGCTTTGCATTCCAGTCTTTGAAACCTTATCTTCTGACTAGTTGGTGTATTGTCAGAGAATGGGAGCAGTCTAACTCGGCTAACTCGGCTTCATCTCAGACAAAATTAATTTGTCCTAATTCAGTTCGCTTGCCCGGACAAGACCTTCTAGTAGTTAGAGGCTCCTTGTTCTACGTAATGTAGTTGGTTGAAAGTTGGGAACAATTCCACTGGGCTACTGCTGGATTTGAAAGAAAAAAACTAAAAGAAAGTGTAATTTGTAAAATAGGCAGCAGAAGAGTTTTATTTATGGCAGTCAACAATTGCTTGCCACACTTCTCACACATCTATTGTCTGCCTTTTTTTTTAATGTGCTGCTCAGCTGAAGGAGTTTCAGCAGAAGAGCTCCCCTGCTAGTGTGGGAGGAGAAAAGGGTGGTGGAGGAGGAGGAGGAGGAGGAGGTGGTGGTGGTGGAGCAGGGGCCAAGAAGAAGAGGAAGGTGAAGGGACTGAGCCAACACGATGCACCATCAACAGACAGAAACTCTCCAGACAATGTAAGTCAGTCCTTTTGTTTGCTTGGTTGTCATCCTGCCCTTGTTGATCAAATACCAACCTCTCTTTGTGCTTGGCAGTCTGTCTTTGTTCTTCCTTGTGTCTTATTTCTCTATTTGTATTTTAACCACTGTTATAACATTAGAAAGCTGTTAAACTCACTTTTATGTTGGCTGCTTACAGTTAATAGTAACTGTGGGCTGGCAGAGCAGTATATACCTCATAAAATAGATCCACAAGCGTGTAGATAAAGTAATTTATTGTTTGTTTTCTTCAAGTGTAATTGAGGATTTGTAATGTCCTACTTGGCTATTGATCACAAAATATTTTGCCGCCTGTGAAGTGATAAGGCTGAATGACTATTAGGTTTGGAACTGCTTTCCACCTTGCTATCAAACGCACACACATTATCATACAACACAGTGCTAGCATTGATACCTATGTGCCAGCCAGGTGACAGGGTGAAAGTAATGTTTAAGCAAGAGAAGGATACTGGACAAGACACAGATAGTAACATTGGCCATTGTAGTGCCCAGTATGCAGCAAAAGGTGAGGTATTTTGTTAAATATACTGCGAATTCAAAGCACACACAGATAATTACATAAACATTTGTCAAATCTTGTGCAGCTAAGTTGGTCTGCACATTTTAAGAAATTATCCAGTTGTATGTTAGTTTTGTCAGATTTTCATATTGGTTTGTGTCATATCAACCTTATTTTATGTTAAAACACATGTTATTATGTACATTTATATGCATAGTATTGCCATAATGAGTAGTAGTCTGCCTATAAATAGATTCTTCTTTTGTCCTTTATGCTGCAGTCCTTTAAGGGACAGAATATGGACAGATGTACAGGAAAAGATCCTTATCAAAACAGCAATTAATTATTAAATAATCATAACCATGCATGTTTAACATGTCACAATTAGAATTTTGACATGAATGAGAAATCATAGATGGGTAGTGTGTTTTGGCTGGTGATTTTGGAAATCTAAAAACAATTTCCGCCTTAAACAGAGTCCCATGCCTGTCTGTTCGAGCTCATTGACACTCTTAATTTGCTTATTTGCTGGTTGTCACTATTGTTATATTTAAATATCTAGCATCCCTTCAGTTTCCTCTTATAAGCAAATTGAGAGCACCAATGAAGACACACAGTTAGGCATGTGACTCCAGCACACAGCTTTCACACACAGGGGCTGACTTTGGGGTCAGTCTTCCACAGACCATGTCGGTCAGTAGTTTTCTAAGCCCGACTGGAATTTGGGTTCGTCACAGCTTGCTGTTGAGTCTTGTTGTTTGTTCTGACACAATTTTTCCCCCCAAAATATTTAATTTTGGTTGGCCAAGACTGGATAGACTCATGTAATCTGAAGCAGGAAATCTGAGGGGGATGCTGGCAATAACCAAATGGAGTCCAGTGTTAGGGGTCAGAGCAGAGGAGACATTTTATGATTATAGCAACACACACAATGATAATTCATTTTATAAAAATTCTTATCCAAACATAGTTCTTTCCCCTTTCTAAATGGGCTTTATATTCAAATGTGAGTAGGGAGGCAAATAATTATTGACTGGGTTCAGGTGATGCTAGCAAGGAGACGTGTGAGCAAGTTTAGTGTGTTAGTTTGTAGAGCTGATTCCACTTGAAGCTGAAGCAGCTAGGGATTTGTTGTCAGGGATGTTGCCACTCCACAAAGGCAACATTTGGAAAAATGCTGCACCCCTGTGTACTGCTACTGTGTACTGTGTTCTATAGTCTTGTTTACACGAGTAAATTTTATTCAGATAGGGTTATTTTGATTATCAGTGGTGTTAAAGGCTCCAGAAAGATTTACTAACCCCTTGGACCTGGCCTATTGTCCTCAGTTTCTGCTTATTATACACCCCTGTCACTTCTAGACCTTTTCCTTTTTTCCCTTTTTCTGTGCCTGTTTGTCTGTGTCTCTATCACTCTCTAAACTGTTCTGCTGTCCTCCACCCTTGTTTCTTCTTTCCTGTAGTTTGACAGTATTCTGAAAGCACTTAGTCAAAGCAATGGAGTAGTGCTACCTCCTTATGGCAACAGTCAGGTGAGCCTCTGCCTCTCTTTCCTTTCTTTGATTCTGCTTTGCCTGTTTTTTTTCTGCCTCTTCATCTCTCTGCTGTAAATAGCCGCTCCTCATGTGGTATTAAATATTATATATTGCTTCCCCATTATTACCTCCTTCTCATGTCAAGTGCACATACTGTTTTTTTGTCACATGGGCCAGTAGCATGGGGCAAACTTGAGTGCAAATGTTGCATTGGTGCTGTGCTTTTTAAATCCATGTCGAGAGAACATTCATGATTAAGAAATGCGGAGGGTGCAGAGTTATTTCAGTTCATTCCAGTGCTGTTGAAGAGTTCACCGTCTTATGTAGACGTTCAGTGTGGATGGGCAGGGTATGCACAGGTGTTGCATGACTCTCAGTAGTTGCATGGCTGTGATATCTGCATCTGGGTGCATCATGCAGGCATGCATCTGGGAAAACAAGAAATGTCTTTGTGTTTTAATTTTCAACTATGTTCTCATTGCTACTTTTGTGTGTGTGTGGTTTTTTTTTCAGTACCTTTTTTACATGCACTCTTAAAAGTGTTACAGATTATTACAAATGTCTTGCTTGCATTAGTTTCAAAGTCAGAGTAAGAGTAACTCAACAAAGGGGTTATTTGTCAATCATTCAAATTAATGTTGGCATTTATACAGCATGGTCTGAGTTCTTTCAGTGCTTTGATTCTGCAAGTGTTTCCGAGAGCTCTATGGGTAGAAGTAATGGGAAAAAATTGGGCCAGCAGCAAAACAGCTTTCCTGCCAGAGCTATCACCATAAGTAACCAAGCTTGCAGGAAGGTGCTCTATAAGCTGTTTACCACAAAAATATATACCAACACTGTCCCTGCAGTTTTTTATTATTATATTCTTATGTTGACTAAACTGTAACCTTAATCTGAGTTAGAACAGTAATCAAGACATTTCCATGCAACATACATAAAGTTTGAGACATCATTGTGGTCTTTCTGTTGCTCTTGCATCATAACTGCTCTTTGTCTTTGCATTAAACCAGTGTGTGCATTTTGTGTATGTGTCACCTCAGACCTTTGCTGACGTGGAGGCCATGGGGTCCTCAGTTCCCCAGCTGCTGGAGGACCCAAAGGGGGAGCCTGGTCACAGTTCACCTGTGTCTAACTCTGCTAGCGCTAACACTACTACTAACCCTGAGTCTGTCGGTCACAACACTGACCTGCAGGTGTGTCTCTTAATATCTGTCAGTTCAGTCTCTTCTCTGTCTGTCAAATCATATTTTGTTTCTGTCCTTCTTTCTCCTCTATGTCCATCACATTTAAGATTATATGCCTTAGTCTTACAGTGATTAAAACTACAGATCCCCTGCCTTGTTAGACTGTTAATGTGCATTGTCATCACACATTTCTTTTTATCAAATTTTCTCACCGTAATTTCTGTGTTTCATCTTTCTCTCTCTCTCACTCTCACTTCCTCTTTCGATCTTACTCTCTTTCTGCAGGACTATCCGGATACCAACGGCAATGAGAGTTTAACAGAGGAGAATAGGTGGGTTACCTGATTCCCTTACTGCCTGTGACACCCTTTTACGTTTTTATTGAAACGTGCGCCATACACAGAACAGAAGTTGAATATTAATGCAAAATATGCCTGCCAAGGTTTTCCACTGTTAATGGCAAGACATGATTTTCACACATCATATATTAGGTATAATAAGCAATACTAATATGGCTCCAATGTACCCTGCTACTCTAGCCATTGATTACTAATGCAACGTTGTAAATTACATAGTTAATGTGTGTGATGGATTATTTATTTGTGTTATCCTGCAGACCACTGTCTTCCACAGAGAGCCTGCGACAGCTCTCACAGCAACTGAACGGCCTGGTCTCTGAGGTACAATTTTAGCACCGCCAATGTCATCCTGTCTCTCTCTCTTACACACACACACACACACACACACACACACACAACACACACACACACACACACCACACACATTTCTTTGTCATACAGTGTAAGGCTTTTAACAACAACACACCACCACTGATGTGCACTTTCAACTGTGATGTGTTGCTTCTATTCTTGGCAGGAATGCACTGGAAGCATTTTCAAATTTGCCAGTTGTTCCCAATGGCCTCAGACACACTGACAGCATTCAACTGATGCACCAAATCAACTTGATATATTTCCTCTGAACTTTGTTTGGTTTTGCATAGTCAGCAGTGTATCGCAATGTGTCCTTTTTGTCAGGTTTCTGAGATTAACATTGACCTACTACTGACTAAAAGGATTAATAAGATGTTTAAAGACAACTATCTTGCTGTTCTAATAGTGGCTCCTGAATATAATTAGCACACTGTTTTTATATACCTTTCAAGAAAATATGTTAGGGTATTGTTGCCCCTCACAGTGGTGAAATGTAGGTCTTACACTGCTGACAAACAAATTGCCAATCTGCAGTGCATCCAGTAAGTTTCAGCTTTAGGCACATAGAGACATCGTTTTTCATTGAAGCACATTCATTTTTCTTGTGAAAAAAGTGAAACATATGAAGAATTTTCTGTTTTGGATGTGCATTAATGCGTGGCTTTGTCATTTCAGTCATCTGCTGCATATGTGAATGGGGATACTGCATCACCTGGCAATGAGAGAGAACTGGAGGTAAGATTCAAGATTCAATCATTTTATTTTTAGTTTATATAGGTAAGATGGAAATCTAATATTGTCTGTTAGATGAAAACTTGTTTTTGAAATTTTAAACCCAGGTTAGAGGTTGACAGTATAGCCAGGACTTCTTTTAAGCTTGGTATCATGTTATCACACAATGCTTGCATATAAAGTGAAACTCTATTCAGTATCAACATGCTGCTCCCAGAATGGATTTTCTCTGGCAGCACTTTATTATTTGTCATAGGATAGTATGCTTGCTAGCTAGCTGTCTAAAATGGTCAGCTTCAGGTTTGCAGCACTGGCAGTGTAATCTACCCAAAACTCACTGTGACTCTTGTGTGAGGGTGACCTTTCTGGCTTTGTGTAATTTAATTAACCACAAAGTACATTACGTCTACTCTATGTGAGCCTTGAGCTTAAACTTATCATAACATGATATGACAGGTGAAGCTAAAAATTGAGGTGTTTTTAAAATGTATTCTAATTGCATTATACAACATTTTAGGTCTCAGTTATTGCTAAAGCTTTGTAAAAGGAATGAATGTCTAGCTGGATTAATGGGTGATTGATATGTTAATGTATGACAGATTAGTTCTAAAGGGAAGTAAATATCACTGGGCAACTTAACACTGAAATGGGATTCCCAAGAATAATTGCAGTTTATATATGAGTATAATACTTTGTATAACTGTTGAGTGGTCTCTCTGGTGAGGGCTATGAACGTGCAGCTACTGTTAGCTAAAAATTGTCTTGTGCCCTTTTGCACCATGTAATGTTACTTCACTGACCACAATTTGAGACGTCTCTTAGATTGGCCCCTGAAGTGCAGCATGGAAACTGTCAGAGACCTCATATGACAGTCTGGAGAAATTTAAGGAATGTGGATCCCGTCCACATTTTGCAAATGATACTTAAATAGGTTCCAGTGAAGGATCCACTATCTTTCAACTGGCTCCATTAATCAGCCTAACATTCATCATTTATTTTAATTAATTTTTTCACGTCTCATTATTGAAAACACATTTTGTGCTACTAGTAAAGGTGCAATTGTTTGCCTCCATGTTAATAATTTACATTTGAATTCTTCTCCTCCTCCCATGTGTTCTTTGTTTGACTTTTGCCACTGCACTTTATCCCTCTCTTCTTTTTTTCCCCCTTTCCCGGATGCATGTGTGCACGTAATAGATTCGGAACCAGGAGCTGGCAGCCGCCCTGGAGTCCAGCAACCTAACAAACTCTCAGCTCAATACCAAGCTAGACCAGCTGGTAAGAAGCTGTGTGTGTATGCATACTTTTGTGCACACATTTGTGTGATTGGAGAAAAACCTTTCCAGCTATCCCACAATTACCACATTAGTGCATGTACTGCATGTATTTTGCATGTCATCTTGAGTTACCACACGCTGGAAGAAATCATGCATGTTTTTCATTATTTATGTATCTTTCACTTAGTTTAACTCTAAATAAAGAGTAATTTGGGTTCACATTTCGGTCAGAGCTGTCATAACCTTATGGTAGATGCCTAATTGTAAGGAGTTTTCTCTCCAGTTTAGCACACTAACAGCAATAAACATCACAGCTTCAAATAAACACTAAAGGTTAACATAACAGATAACAGAACAGGTTCATTAATTCAGTACTTGATGCTACCCCTGTCCTGTCTGGCATGCAGATAAGGTCTTCTGTGCTAGAAGTTAGAAGACATCTAGAACTGTGTAACACTGCTGGGGTGATGAAAGAAATGTTGATCTTTCACAAACTTACATTTTATCCTGTTGGTCCGGCAGGTACAGCAATCTCAAGGGCTCTCAGATCAGCTACAAAAGGTAAATACTTCTCTCAGCCAGTCTGTTCATTCCTGTCTCATATTTTCCAGTCTGCTGAATTTTTGCTTCCCTCCTCATTCATGAACTTGTTTTTGGTTTTTTTCTTACTTAAGGAGCGAAAAGATTTTGAACAGAGATTTTCAAGAGAGCAGGGTGCCATGCGCGAACAATTACAGGTAACTGCTCTTACTAAAACACATGAATTGAATTTGTGTGATTGTGCATTTTTAGCATTTGTGAAACTGTGTAATAACAAAAAAAAGCCTCTTTGTACTGCCATGTAATGTTTTACTGTATGATGTCAGAGTCCGTGGTGTCACCCTGGTATAAACTGGATAGAAATGTGATCCGAGAACACCATTCCAACCCTCCTTTCCCTGATCGCTCACTGTGACAAGAATAAATTGTGTTGTCTGCGTAGCAAGGCTGAAGCACTGACTGTAATGACTCTGTAAAGAATTGTGCTTATTTCATGTTGTGATTTAATGAACTTGATGTTAAGTCAGTTATGATTACCTAGACTCATTAAAAGCTGTCCTCTCCCAAGGTTCACATCCAGACCATTGGTATACTGGTATCAGAGAAATCAGAGCTACAAACAGCACTACAATACACACAACAGGCTGCACGGCAGAAAACAGGTCTGTGTGTTTTATCATTTTTATCATGGAAAGACCCCTGCAGCGTTTAGTTAACTTAGTTTGTGTCTCTCTGTCCCTCTCTCTTTGTGTTTGTCTGTAGCTGAGACAGAGGAGTTGAATAACCGTCTGCAGGCAACAAGGCAGAGAGTGTCAGAGCTGGAGAGAACTCTCTCCTCTGTCTCAACACAGCAGAAACAGTTTGAAAAGGTAACAAACATTGCAGTAATCACTCCCTGTAAACAGAATTCTCTGAGGAATGAGTAATTCAGATGCAGTATATAACAAACTTAATTCACAATGACTTGTATGCATGTAATACAGATAGGCAGCCACAACCAAAAGCATACACCTCCATTCTTCACTGTAGTTGTTTTAAATTATCTTCTAAGATGACTTTGTCATGCTGACGAAGTGCCTTTGTTTTTTTAATAAACTTGTTTTCTTTTTTGTCTCCAGCACAACAAAGAGCTTGAAAAGGAGAGAGACAACCTGAGGCTAGAGATGTTTAGACTTAAGTAAGTCACTTACCCCCATGTACACAAGGAGATGTATTTCATAGCATTGCCACTGCAGAAGCTTTGACATTAATGACGATATTTAGTCCATAATGCTGTATGAATTGCAACAGATGGTATGAGAGTGTCCCAAGTCCTGTTAGAATCTGGTAGGTTAGAAATGATGAATAATCTCTGCATATGTGTGTGTCCACAGTAATATGAGTGAGGAGTCGAAGCAGCAGAACTCGGAGATGTCGGAGCAGCTGAAGCTGAGTACACAAGAGAATGGAGCAATGAGGCTGGAGGTGGAAGATCTTCGCAAGAGACTTGAGATAGCCGACCTCATGTTGCAACAGGTGCATTAAGACACAGGCACAACATTTTACAGTACATACACATTTAAACTCCTCTTTCTCTTAATGAAAATTGTAAGTGTTGGATTAACTATACTGTCAATCTAAAACAACAAGGGGATATTTGGAATTAGTTTTAATCTAGAGCCCTAAATGTTTTGTTGCAGACGATGCTGCCAGATGTAATTTTGTATTATTTGCATTTCTCTCCAGTGCTCCAATCAGTCAGATCCCACCAGTGCCAACCAGCAGGTCCAGTTACTGCTGGAAGATAAGCAGCAGCTGGAGGCACATAATCAACAGGTCTGTGTACAAGGACTGTTCTCTTACAGTTATCTGTACTTTTGTCATACAAGTGTCTGTCTGTCTGAATTTAAAGAGTTTTGAGTTTTGGTGTTCAGTGTTTTGATGTATTCTGAAGCTTGTGGCTCTTTACCAGATATTGTATACTGGTTTGAGCAGTTAAAGCAAGTCAACATTGTACCCACTAGTTTCCTTGCAGCCATTCCTTCATAGAGACGTATATCTTAGCTCAGCCACGTCATCATAATGGCCCTGTTTGCATTTGCATCAAATTACCCATTAGATGTCAATCTATCTATCCATCTTCTTTTCTAATTTTCCTTTTCACTTTTGATTATTTGGTACATAAAAGTTGCAAACTAATGCTATTTTATGACCAGAAAGTGTTGCTTTGTTAACAGCATTTCCCTTTTTATGTTTTTGATGCTGTAGTTGTTGGAGTCGATTGCCCAGCTGCAGACCGAGAGGGACTGTTATGCAGAGCAGATTCATGAGGAAGGACGTGTATGGAAGGACAAAACAGAACAGCTGCTAACACAGGTAAACTGTACAGTAACCTTAGCGTAGACATTACAGTTGACTAGAGCGTGGGAAATATAGAGTGCTATGTTGTTTGTTTACTTAATTCATTTTGGTGTCAGACTAATGACTAATTCATCCGTGTCAATTTTTGTTTGTGTGCAGGTGTCTTTGGTTGCAGAGGAGAGGGACAGAAACATCAGCCGAGTCCAAGAACTGGAGGCCAGCATCACAGAGCTGAAAAATGCTGCAGGTAAGAGGTTCAAATCGCTGTTATCTACATCTGTATCTACCTCTATCTGCCTCCTTCCTTTTCCTAACTGTTCTGCAGCTCCTTCCTTGATGTCAAGAACACATTTGATAAATAAGCTCTTAGATTGCCTGACCATAGTAGGATTAACAGAATGGGCTCCCCTTATCTTCCTGGAATGAACCTGGATTCAGGTGCATCTGGGAGTCAAGGAGAGCAAACTTCAGAGGGAAGGAAGACTGGAGCACACTGATTGATGTTCAGGCTTAAAAGTGTGAATAGACTGATGTTTGTCAGTATTGTTAACTAGTGTCAAGATGTTAATTACTGTCCAAGTGTGTCTGTTAAAGCCTGCAAATCAATACGTGTGCTTCAGTCTTTGTCCCTCTGTAGTGGAATTAACAACAATGCAACTTTTATTGTCAAGTATTCCGTTTAACACATTATATTTTCTGTGTGTAGTAATATTTAGTTCAGCATAATCTTAAAAGCTGTACTGTCAAAGCTACCATAGTGTGTTGTATTTCCCTGTAGCAAATTTCTTACACTTGATAACTGTAATCCTTCTTCTTCTCCAGCATTATTGTCCCAGGAGAGAGAGGCTCAGGATATTGCAGAAACTCAGTCCTCGGGACCATCAGAGAGTGAGGTGGCTCTGCAGGAGGCACTCAGCACTCTACAACAGGAGAAAGACGCTCTTACTGCACAGTACCAAGCACAGGTATACATTACAGTGACACATGCTTGGACAGGCCTGTTTTACCGAATCACAAATGTAATAACATTTGAAAGCTACACCATATGATAATTAGTTCTCTTAGGTTCGAATTTTCTAATCAGCATTGGTAATTCTTTCCCCAGCTGCGAGATAACGAGCAGCTGAGCCGCCTGTGTGCAGAACAGGAGACGCGTCTTGGGGAGCTGGAGCGGCAGGTGGGCAGCCAAGTCCAGGATGAAGGGGACCGCCGGCGCATGTTGGAGGATGTTCAGTCAGACAAGGCCACTATTAGTCGTGCTCTCACCCAGAACCGGACACTGAAGGACCAGCTGGCTGAGCTACAGAACGGTTTTGTCAAACTGGTGAGGCTGGAAGTCTAATTGTGCATCCGTCCTTTTTTAATGACATCTATGTTATTATTTATTATTATTGTGTTGTTATTTCTATACTGGATACTACTTTTGTTTCTGTCCTAACTTGCTATCATTTTTCAGGGATCATAGATTCGTTTTCCTGCATCCTTTAGCATTTTGTGTGAATTGATCCTCTTGTGGCTTTTTCATGTCTTTTGTTATGTAGTTATTGTATCAAGGATCCATGTCTCTATAGCAATAAACTGACAAAGTTTTCACACAGTAGGAAAATAAATTCATAACAAGTATTACCTCAGAGGGTGGGAGAGTTCTGTCTTTAAGCCAAAATTCCTTTATTTTTACAGACTAATGAGAACATGGAGCTGACCACTGCCATCCAGTCAGAGCAACACGTGAAAAAAGAGCTGGCTCGTAGAATGGGTGAACTGCAAGAGGCACTGCACAATTTCAAGGAGCAGGTATGCTCACACAAACGTATGCACTTTTTCTGTCTTCACTTTGCTATCTTGTGCAGTCTTGTATGTTTTTTTTTATACTTGTCAACATAATAGACATAATAGTGTATTAACACAATAGAGAAATATATGATAGTAGCATCCATAAAGAGATTAATCTGCCTTGTTATTATTTTCCTCTTTGTTCCCTTGTGTCCAGCTGGAGCTTAAAAATAAGGAGACTCAGGCTCTGATGGAGCAGAGGGACCAGGTAGTGGCCTACCTGCAGCAGTACTGTGCTGGCTACCAGACCCTGGCCTCAGAGAGAGAACAGCTCCACCAACAGCATCTGCAGCAGATCCAGCTCATGGACCGGCTGCAGCATGATGAAAGTCAGGGCCGCGTGCAACTGGAGATCAGTCACAATCAGCTCAAACAAGCGCAGGTGTGTATTTAAGAATAAGGCCTTGTCCACGTGACCATTGATGATGATGATGATGATGATGATGATGATGATGATGGTGATGATGATGATGATGTATGAATATATTTCAGTCCAGTCTGTTGTGATGTTGGAGTACAGTACATCATGCACTTATGAATATGTTGAGACTGCTTTAAATGGTCTGAGGTCAGTGCATTATGCAGTATATTTATACCATGCTGTATAACCTCATCTGTCCCTTCTTTACCTCTCTGACACCCTCAAACCCACATGAACTATCTCTCCATCATTGTTTTGAATGACTCTCTGTCTCCCCCTTCAGGAGCATTTGGACCTGTTAGCCAGAGACAATGAGCAGTTGAAGGCTGAGGTGAAGGAGCTGCTCAATAGCTCAGCTCTTGCCTCGTCATCCAGAGACCAAGGTAAGATTTGTCTATTACTGGTATGTTGGTACTTACTGCCCCTTTTGTTTTGTTTTTTACTGTCATTGCTTCATGTTCTATTTCTTTTTGTGCTGCCCTCCTTTTGAAATTCAGTGCCAAAAAATGTACCCTTTACAGGTGTTAATGTTGTTATGGCACACATGTTCAACAGCATAATAGCTTTCTTGTGTCACATTGTTTATTTTGAAAGAAATGCAACCTAGAAAAAGAAAATACTAATAATCAGCAGGTTGGCGGTTTGATCCTTGTTTCCTCCCATTGCTTGTCAAAGTGTCCTTGAGCAAGATACTGAACCCCAAATTGCTCTTGATGCTGTGCATCGGTGTATGAATGTGAATGAATGACTAAGTTCCTGTTTGTGATAGGCTTTGCCATCAGTGTTTGAATGTGTGTGAATGGCTGAAGGTGGCATGTAGTGTAAAAGCACTTTGAATGGTCAGAAGACTAGAAAGTTGCTATATACGTTCATTCCATTTACAAGAAACATCTTCTAATAGCTGAGCTGCAGCAGTAGTTTCAGACCTTCCACTCTGACCTCAGGCTGTGCCACCTACAGGCAAGGAAAGAGCAGCAGCAATTTTGACACTTGCACCATTTGTGAATTAGTGTTACAGTCTAAGACCACTTACTTAAGAAAATTGGGAGAAAAATATGTTAAAAGTCTATTAACGGTTTCAGTCTTTCATTATGTCACTAGGCGATGGAGTGGAAAGCCAGTCCATGCAAGAGAGCCCAAAGAAGTCCTCCTCCATAGTTATCCCAGAAGACTTTGAGAGCCAGAAGGAGATGGTGAGGAGGGTGATAAGTCATCTCCCCTAAAACTACTTGTTTCCTTTGCTTTGCCTTTTAGTACACATTATGAAGACCTAAATCAAGTGAAGAACTATGCCAGTGTCAATGATGTATTTTTAGATCAATCAAAGATCAATTAATGGTGAAGATTTGAAAGAAAGAAAGGGTTTACAACTACATATGGGATGAAAATTTGACGTTAGCCTCATTCGTCCGCTCCCTCCCACCATCCTCACCCCGCCACCTTCTGTCCCACCCCGCAGGAGGAGTTTATCCGAGGAACTGTGGCTCAGTTGGAGGCCGAGAGGGATGAGGCCAGAAGGCAATTGGAGGAAGAGCATAGGCTCCACATGGCAGCCCGGCACCAGACCGCTGTGGCCCTCAGCCTTGAACACCAACACTACAGCCACAAACCTGTTCATGACCACCATCACGAGCATCATGAGCATCACGAGCATCACGAGCATGATCACTCTCAGGGCCAACATAGTCAATGTGAACACAGTCATGAGCATTCAGGTGAGGCAGACTAGATGGTTTGTTTGGGTGCATGATGCAAATATTTTTAGGCCAAGATTACACCTCTCTAGAGTAGGATATTGAATTATTATAAATACAGTTAAGCCTGATTATATTCCGTAATGAATTCTGATTATATAGATAAAAAGAATATGGGGTGCATTATGTAAATCAGCTGTTTACTTTACTATCCTTTTCTCAGAAGGAGGAGTACCTGTGGAAGTTCATCAGGCCCTGCAAGTTGCCATGGAGAAGCTTCAGCATCGTTTCACCTCCCTCATGCAAGAGAAAGCTGACCTGAAGGAGAGGGTGGAGGAGTTAGAGCACCGCTGCATCCAGCTGTCTGGAGAGACAGACACTATAGGTGAGACAGTTGGATATTTGTGATGTGAATATCACTTACTGTACAACTAATGTTTTGGTTGACTGTAATAAGTTGTCAGAAAAATAAAAACACTCAACATACTCATTTCTGTTACTATGTTCTTTCCAGGGGAGTACATAGCCCTGTACCAGAGTCAGCGGGCCATTATGAAGCAGAAACACCATGAGAAGGAGCAGTACATCAGCATGCTGGCTCAGGACAAGGAGGAGATGAAGGTACTGTATAGCAACCTTTTTATATAAAAAATAACCGTTAGTGCAGTCAAATATAGTGGCATTAGATGTTTGTCTTGGTGTATTTTTTTGCTCAGTTTTCTTTCTTACCAACATTCAGAGCCTGTAGCGACTCAAGAGAAGACGGATCCTGATAAATGTGACATTGTGGCTTTATTTTCCATCTCAGTCTATTTTCATAACAATCCTAAATTGGTGTTTGGCAGCCCAAATCAAAATAGTCTACCCTTGAACATCACTGTTGTGTAAATAACAAGTATGACAAAATGTGATACTGTCTATACTGTTGAGGATCACCTTGCATTAAACTGCATCTTTTATGTAGATGGAATTTAACCTGATAACATTTAAACCTGGTATTACTGTGCATCTCCAGTGTCCACATTGAGATTCAATTCCTCTGTTTAAAAGAGAAAATGTAACTTGTTCACATTCATTTTTTTGTTTATTTCTAAATGAGCTGCTTTACAAAATCTGTGACTTTGACTTGTGTGGAGGAACTTTGCAGCTGTTGGCTCGTGGTCTTTAAACCACAAGCTCTCTTTATATTTCTCTGCTGAGACGTCAAACTTTAGATTTTATTTCAGACTGCAATACGTTTTTCCACTCACAAAGTTGTTGTGCGTGGATTTACAACGCAATTGCATTTACATTTGAACACTGTCTTGGGTGCATTTACACCTTCATGTAGTCAAACCTTATCCAATATCAGTCTGATTGCCCAAAACTAATTTTAATGCATAGTGTAAAGGGGATCTATGAATGCTCCTACGTAATGACCAACACTTCTTTAAACAAACAGTGCTCTTCACACAACAGAATGATTTTTATCAGTAATCGTGTTTAATAGAAGCAACAGTTTTGTAATATCCTCCCAACTAACATTTTTGTCTGTGTGTGTCCTTGCCGTTGTGTCTCCACTGTCCATCAGATGAAGCTGGCTGAGCTGCAGGATCTGGTGATGAGGTTGGTGGCTGAGAGGAATGACTGGTACAGCCGCTACACCGGAGCTGTGGCTGGCGCAGGCACAGTGAACCCAGACCTTCTTCCTGTCGGGGAGGATCACGCTCACCCAGAGCACCAAGCACACACACACACAGAGTTTGATGCTGTCAGTGGAGCAGGTAGGCACAACGAGTAGTACTGTCCTCACTACATTATAAATCAATGCAAAAACAATTATACAGTGATCTTGTGTTCAGACGATGGTTGGGAAGGGGGAGAGTAGCTTGTTGTGGCCAAAAGGACAGGAAATTGCATGGTTATTGGAAGTAATTCTTGACATGTGTGGATCTTTTTGTGAAGCTTAATACAGCACGTACAACAATTGACAAACTCCTGAGTCATTGTATCTGCTGTTGTTTATAAAATGGCAGGAAGGATGGCAAAAAACAACAACACAGTAACAACAATACAGAAAGTTAAGGTTTGAGGCAATACTGGAGGTAAACTGATATTGTGGCACAGTGTGGTGTCTGCATAAAAAACTTCATCCTAAAGTCAGATAAGTGCAGTCTATGGAAATTATAGGTTTCTACTGTTCTTTGTATTAAGAATAAAAACACGGCCTGTTCTCATTATGAAGAGTAAAAGTCTTTAATGTAACTCTCTCTGCTGCAGAAGCCATGGAGGTCATTCCTCTGTCGGAGCCCACCACAGACCTGGAAGCCTCCTCGTCCCAGACGCTTTCGACCGGGTCGGCCCAAACTGACTCCAAGCCCCTGGGCCCCAAAGAAGACGGCACAGCCCAGCAGATCATGCAGCTGCTCCAGGAGATCCAGAACCCTCAGGGAGCACTAAGGTCACCCCACTTCCTCGGAGAAAACCCCTGCATCCCCTTCTTCTACCGGCCTGATGAACAGGACGAAGTCAAGATCCTGGTGGTGTGAGTTGCGGGTGTGACAGAGGCTGGTGTGTATGTGTGAGAGATATTGGACATGTCTTGAAGTCTGGGGAATATTAAACACCACAGTTTACCGTCTTTGTAGCTTATTTATCATATTCATAAACACTTTGACACCCTGCAAAACTGGTCACTGGTCTTTGACCCAATTACATGAAAATGTCCCCTCTCTGTTCTGTGTGTTGGCACTCATGTGTGCATGGTTAAAAGTCTTTTCTATTTGATGTTTTTATGTTTTTGGGGTTGTTTTTGTCTATGATGCTCTTCCCAGAGAAGAGATGATCAGTATTCCTTAATGTAATCTGATTAGTCTCCTTACCACAATTTTTAATTCCCATCCTTCCTCTCGTCTCCCGTCTTACACATAAGTGCAATAAAGGGGGCCGTATATCCTCCTCGCTGATAAAGTACTTAAAGAGCTGTCAGAAAATTAGCAGCGTGTTCGTGTGCAACTTAATTTTAGTGCAAATCTCAGTTTTACACAATTCACTGTACAAATGCCAAAAAATAGCCTCACGTTTGAATGTAATAACGAGAATATTTACCTGTATGTCTGTGTAATGACGAAATGTGAGGAGAACAGATGATGGTGAAAGGGCGGAGAAGAGACGGAGAGTGAGGTGTAAGTTAAAAGTCGGAAAAGAAACTTGGTGCACATAATAGCTTTTGAACTGAAGGCGCCATTCTGTTTCAAAGTGAAGAGCTCGCTAGTTACATGATCAGGTTCAGGAAGGTGGAGGCAGGTGTCGCAGATTGGTACTGTCCCTAAAACTACCTTTTCTCTACATTGTCTTTTTGCTCCAAACACTGAAAAAGAAGTCGTATGTTTGTACAGTGCGAAATGTTAATATATGTGAAACCTTTGTGTTGTGATGTCAGAGAGAAGTCACCACCGTTACAAAAAGGTGTTTTCTGAGTCATTAGGGGAGAGATGCAATTTAGAGACCCCAAAAAAACTAATCAGTCAAAGTTATTAAGCCATTTTTTTTCTGATTAGTTGCTGAAACAGTGGAGAAGCACATCTTCTTCACACTGTAATTCAGATGAATACTAGAGCTTGGGGTGCGCTGCTTTTTTTCTGCTTTATCTTTGCCATTAGTGTGAGGAAGTTGCAGGAAGTTTGGTGTTAAAATCTCTTTATCTGCACTTAATCTTTCTTCTTCAGTTATTCTACCCCACAGTATCATCACTCAAGTCATGAAAATCTATATTTATTTCCTCGTCAGAGATGCTCATCCATAACTGAGCTGTAACCTCTATTTCATGGGGTCTTTAAGTTTCTAAACAAATTGACACTATTAATAAGAGCCTGTTCTGTTCTGTTACGTTTGCATGTAGTTCCACATATCAAAGATGATTCGATGCACATCATTTACAACTGGACTGTGAGTGTATGTGATGCGTGCGTGTAATCCAGACCTTTTCCTCTTCAGCTGAAGTCCCATCTGTTGTGCTTTTTTTTCCTATCGTATAATATAAGTATGATTGCACTAAAACTGTACAAAGCTTCTCATTCAGCTCAATGACGGATGGTTCTATCATAGAGCCTCTTAGCTGGCTTAATAATGTCTGGAGAAAAAGGGGAATCCTATGACGCCTCTCTCTTAAGCTGAGGGTTCCAGTTGAAGCAAATTTAATTGGAAGTGTGTGTGTGTGCGTGCGTGCAGTGTTGCACTTGGAATATGAAGGAGGACGGTGTGTAAATATAAGTAGAAGGTAAATTTAATGAGATTGCTCACTTCAACAAGTCGTGATGTTATTCCCAAAAGAGAGGGACCAATCAGAATTTGAGAAAATGAACATCTCTTTCCAAAACTGGAGGACAAAACTAATCAGCTTTGTCATGTTCATATTTTGACCAACAACACTTGAGTAAACCTCGTTTGGGCATTAAAAGGGTCCCAAGATCTGGATCGATGTTTCAGGCTTTAAGAGATGCTCATATTCACAAATGTAGATTGGAGGATGAATTGTTCGGCATCTTCACTGAGAGCTACGCAATCACAGCAGAATGTTTCTTTCTTTTTTCTTTTTCTTTTTCTTTTTTTTTTTTAATTTCAGATCAAATCTTGGCAAAGGCCTCTGTTTTGTGAGAGTCTTTCCATGATTTGAATATGCAAGGTTATGAGGGTCTCACTGTAAGTCATACAAAAAAATAAAAATAAAACACAAACTACTTTTGGAGGTGTTTTTTTACCCTCTTATTTGGATGTCTTTTAATTTTTAAGATCCTCTTTTTTGTGTTCACTTTGAAGAAGAGTAGACATTGGCATCAAATATTAAATTGCACACTTGATATTTATCACTGAAAGCAACAGGACAGAAGGCATTGGTGGTATTTTAAACTTATTATAGGAAGCAAAATGTAATTAAAATATAAGGTATGTGGAGGCCTTATTTACTTGGTGGTTTTTTTTTTACAGGGAAAGTAAACAGCACTGCGTCTACCCTAAACCACAGCACTTTATAAGTAAACGCTGTGGTTCCTCTCATTCTTGATTTTTTTTTTATTATTCCTCGCTTCATAGCATTCTGTCACTTTTTTGTTTCCTTTGAAACATGCCACAAAGTATGATTTTCCTTCATTTTGTTTCTGGGAGTGGGCAGAGAGGTAAATATACAATAAAATCCTTGTAGTGTTGTTTCGGGGCTTGTAAAATAACAAATAAAACAATGTGGATATAAAAATTACTTCCCACGCTTTCTAATTCACTGTTAAATATGTTATGCGTGATTGAAAGAACTAGCAGTGAGAAAGCATTTATTGTCTTTACTGTAAGAGAGGTGGTGTATATACTGTAACTGTGTAAGATATTGTATATTCATTATGCCTGGTGTGTGGGGGGAAAGCTGCTCTGCCATGTTTACTGGCAGCGTGGACTGCGTGTATGTCTGTTAGTTCAGAGTCGGGCATTGGCAGTTACTGACTGGCTGTGATTTAATACAAAGATTGACTAAAAAAAAGAGAAAATATTATATTTATTTGGTATAAGTTAGTATCTCAACTAATCAGTTTTAATGTAAAATAGAAGTGACTGTTGGATGGAAAATAATTATTATTCAGAGAACTGATCTGTTTGAGGGCTGCTTCTGACAGAAGCTTACTGATTTTTTTTTTTCCTTGAGTAATATTTTCTCTCCTTCTCCTGAATAAAACTGATTGAGCGACTTACACACACTGTGTCTTGTTTTCTTTATAGTGTTGATTCTCCAGACTGTCCTGCTGTGCACTTGACTGTAAATATACAGCAGACGGTTTGACTTGTCATGGTAGGAGTAGTGTAACTGATGCAGCTAAATGCAATTCAGCCATCTTTTATTGTATTAGTTACACTTGTGTTTTCTACTGTCTTTTATGACAAAGTTTATTCCTTTTCTCAATCATGATCACAATAAAATCCTAAACACTGTAGAAAAGGGAGAAACAACTCTGTATTTGTGATTTTCTTTCTTTAAAATGAATGTCCTGTTCACATTATTTTCTCTGTCAGTCCCGACCAAAACACCTCAAGAACTTTGGAGAACCATGACATTCATGGTTCCCAGAGGATGAATCCCCTCTATACTTGAATTTTAAGACCTATACCTAAAATTCCAGAAACTATGAATATGCAAATAGATTTCCTTCTAGACACAAGATGTCTCCTACTTCTAAAGTCTTTTTTCAGTGTATGTACACTGCTGGCTTAAAGTTCCTACATCACACATAAGTTAACTATTGGACCAGGAAGCAGTTTGTGCCAAACTCCTACCCTACCTATGTTTTGTAACTTAAGAATAATAATATCAAACAATGTTTGCTTCTTTTGGTGGCAGGAATGAAAATAATTCATCATCCTCAACATTTGTTGTGTAATAGTTTCAGAATGATTAAGACAGATTTACATCAATTAGATACAAAACAAGATGTAGGTTTTCCTGGACAATTTTTCATGTTTTTCCAAATTATGTACAGATTTGTTGGCAATCTAATTCATCTGGCTTGAAAAATGGTGCATATAGCTGCCATAATGGGGAAAATAATCTCCCTGGACCCCGCTAATTTTGGGCTAAGCCCCGAATGTTTACAGCATCCGGCTCCACTCCTAGTCTTAATAACTATTGGATGGACTGCCATCCAAGACTGTTGTATCAGTATATGAAGAGTGAATATTGTAATAAATCTCCAAAAGATCCTTTAAAATTCTGTCCGTTTCTTAATAAAGTTAATAAAGAGGAAACTTAGTTCAGTACACTGAGGTTTTTAATGTGTTGACAAAGCACAGCAGTCCTACAGGTTAAAGTTCACCGTTCATCCACAGCAGTTTGAACATGATGCAGGACCTGGCTGCTGCAGGAGTTCACACATTCACACTGTCCCTCCCTGCTCTTCTACACACAGGGAGAAACAACAACAAAAAACCTCTGCTACAAGCTAAAGTATCAAACAACCTGACAACTTCCATATACATCACTGCATTACACATTTTTGATATATTTTTCAAATATTATTCCCTTATACACATACTCATTTATTCATAATAATTTAAATATTCAGAAATGTCTTACATTACAGACTAAAATCTCTAGACAGTGGAAGTACAAGTCCCATAAGATGCACCACACATATACATTATACATTAAGATATGTCCATAATAAACTATTTACTGTTAAATAATAAGTACAATATGCTAGGCTGTGTTTGCATGGGGTCACTGAAGTGTTTCAGGTGGTTTTTAAATGGCTATAATGACATCAATTGAGGTACAGACGGGGGGGGGTTCTGGCTGGTGGGTTGGTTGTTTTTGGTTGGGGTCAGAATACAACACACTGACAGCGGTGTTCAGTTGTGAAAAGATGGGTTGAACTCACAGGCTCGCAAGACAGCGATGTGAGGGTGAAACAGGAGGAGCGATTCATAGTGTTATGCATAGAATGTGGCTGTTTTCATGTTCTCACTCACCCCCGTGACCACTGAGAAAAGAAAGGAAAAGAAGAAAAAAAAAAAGGAAGAAACAGACAATGAATGGCAGATCTTGACCTGGATAAAATGCTGAACGTTTTCCTGTCAGTAGTCAGAATTTATGCATAATGTGATCCCAGCTGACTCAGAAAGACACTCCAAATATGAAAAACCTTTCCCATCATGGGACCTCATTCCCTCTGAATAAAAAGGACGTTTAACCCTGTAACACCCCTTGTTGTAAAATTACAACGTTACCTTTAGCCATTCTAAAAACAATCTGTTATATTTTATCTTATGTTTTACCACATTTACATAGTCATTGGGTCCTATTGTTCAGTCTCACAATGCTATTGGATGGTACATTTGTTTATAAGTCCCGCCTTATGGCCATGAACTCACTCAACTTCTCAAGGTTTCTTTGAACAACATCTCTTTGTTTCATTGGACTAAATTCATCAGATTCTAGTAAGTAAAATGTCTTTTACATTTTTTTGGTTGTTATTACAATGTCCAGAGCATGTACATATGTAGTTATTGTGGAATAGATTCATCAAATTTCATTTAGAGCTTGTTATATATTTGTTGCAATTCTACAACACTGGGTGAGTGTGGTAGTCAAAATAGCAGGCTTGTTGCAGTGGGCCCAAACAGGTTGCATTCCCTCCACTACACCACTGCCTCTAACAAAGTATTTTCTTTATACATGGACAGTATACATTCTACCCTTGTGTTGTGTTCTGGTCAAATTTGACTGATTTAAAAGTTTTATCTTCAAAAAATGTAGTTAATTTGACCAGACTGACCTAAAATTCCATGACTTTGTCCACAAAGAGGATATCAACAGACAATTCAGTTCTGGGAAAGGTGAAAATGTTCCTGAATGTGGGGTGTGGATATAAGTGGGGGTATGCATGTTTTCCTTTTAGTATGATAATTAGAGAGCACAAAACGCAGTATTGTTATGTCAAGGCAGTATTGTTTGACTAAATGGCGGTGATTGGGATGCATATTTCTTTAGCATGATAAGTAGAGACATAACAAGCGTCAAGGCAGTATGAAAGTATCCTATCAAGGGAAATTCAGCAGCATCAAGCAATATATGCAAGGCAAGCCAAACCCATGGGGATTCAAAGTGTGGATGAGAACTGGAATCTCTGGCATGATGTGTGACGTCTACCAAGGCAATGTCAACGGAATACGAGCCAAATCTGAACTTGGATTGTCAGGTGATGTTGTGATGAAGCTTGCTTCCACACATCAGAAGGTCAGAACTACAAAATGTATGCAGACAACTACTTCACCTGTGTTCCATTATTAGTGAAACTCCTTGATTGGGAATTCATTAAGTGGGAACAGCCAGGCAGGTGCGCACCCAACTGTAACCTTGAAGACGAGAAGAGCTTGAAGAAAAAGGGAGATGAAGCTATGACGTCAGAGTGGAGGGAATCACAACATCTGTGCTGTCAAATGGTATGACAACAGGGCCGTCACACATCCTTTGCTTGAACTGAACCTGTGCAGAAGATTCACCACCTAAAGCCACCAGAACCTACATTGAAGTTGAGAGGCCTTACATTGTTGGTGCCTACAACAAGTACATGGGAGGTATGGATTTGTTGGACTCATTTACAGCCAAATATAAGTTCCCCATCAAATCCCGTCGCTGGTACATGTACATCTTCTGGCACACCATCATCCTCGTTGTGGTCAATGCCTGGCTCCTCTACAAGCGGGACTGCAAAGCTCTCAAGATGTCTAGCAAAGAGACAATGAACAGGAGACAGTTTCAGGCACAGCTAGCATCCTCTCTCATCCTGGTAAACACAACACTTGAACTCCAAAGAGAGGATGACCATCTTCAGGCAAAGGGAGCCCAGCATCACAGACAGTGACATCAGAAAGCCCTCTGAATGCTCAGAAGAGACCATCAAGAGATGTGCACACCTTACATTGGATGTACGCAAGGACCTAGTTGCACATTTCCCAGTGAAGACAGGGAGGGACGCTGCAGACACTACAATAAAGGATACACCAACACCAATGCAGCAAGTGTGATGTTCGCCTTTGCTTTTCAGAGGACAAGAACTGTTTTGGGACTTTCACTAACAATGAAAGTCAGTCATGAAAAAAAAAAAGGAATGAAGAAGTTGCTAGAAAAAGCTAGAGTTTTGTCCTGTTTAACAGTTTTTTTAATAAATGACTAATGTGTGATTATTATTAATGTTATATACCTTTATGGGGCTAAGTAAGCAATCAACCCTGCAAATTAACCCGTAGTTGTTCTGAATTGTTGTTCAGACAACATGAGTACAAATACAGAAATTCTGCTCCCACGAAGCCCAATGTTGCAATATTACAACATTTCTCTATAAACTTACATAAACATTATTTTTTTAAAAACTCTTTAATTTCTGCATCAAAGGCCTACTACAACAACATCTGAAAGGTAAAATAATTTTTTTAAAGGTTTTTCTATATTTGGGTCTTACAGGGTTAAGGAGCTATCTAACAGTCTCAAGGAGCAACCCAGGACACATATTCCTTTCCTCTTGCCTAAAAACTCAGATTCTTGTGTGACTCGTGTTATGCAGCTGTCTGCAAAGGACATCCTATATATTGCACTTTCTATTTAGAACCAGCCTTGATATGATAACAATGTTTTTGTGAAGAGGAGAGTGGGACAAGTGCCATGGGAGGCGCCTCTTTATGCCCAAAAAAATTTGTTTTTGCATAGGTTCTGTCGAAGCACAGACAACAGCGTTTTTGAGAGGTGGTTGTGACACAGTTATGTGGACTATCTAGCTGTCCACACATTCAGTGACAGTGACAGTGACAGTGAGGCCCTGCTGGAGTCTACAGCAGGCATAAAAGTCCAGATGGTTCCTCATGTGATCGCTCCACCAGTCCTAGGAGGGGAGAAAGGGGAGGAGGGAAAGAAAGGATGAAGAGCAGCAGCCCGTCTGTCCAGGTATCTGAGGATGAGGAGTCTGTAAGTGATCCCCCCCCCTTATTTCGTTCCTCGTGTGAGCTGAGTGAATAAGCACGTCTGTTTCAAAGTTGATGGGGAAAACCAGGATGAGTTTAAAAAGAGAGGAGGTAAAGGGGAGGATTTGGGGAGGTTCTTCTAAGAGTCGAATGGCGGCAGGGGGCTCTCGGGGCGAGAGGGTCCGCCCCTGTTTGGCCGGCTGTTTGGTGAAAAGAATGAAAAGAAATAAAAGAAGACCTTACATCGCAGGATAAACGGGTAGAAGATGAAAAGAGAAATCCTAAAGATGAGGAGACCCCAGGGAGATACCGCACAAATAAATCACCTCATAGCCTGAAATTCTGGGAGGAAAATAAAGATTTAAAAAAAAAAAATTGGTGAAGTATTCCTTTATTTAAAATAGAAATTAAGCTAAAAAGATTTTTAAAGATAAAACAAATGTTAACACAGGAAAAAATCAGTCAGCAGCCAGAATACCCATTAGAAAGGCTGGAGTATAAAGTAATACTCAGGCAAAGTGTCATGCTAAATTTGCAAATGTCTGCCACCTTAGGTTTACCAGCAGGAACAAATATTCTGTACGTATTTGCTTGTACATATATATATATATATATGTGTGTGTGTGTATTTATGTAAGCAGGTGTGCATGCACATGTGCGCATACACTCAATATTATCTACATAGTTTATTTAAATTCCGAGGGTGCAGCATGTTTGTATGTCAGTCATGCAGGTGTATTTCAAGTATTCTGCATCTCTGTGTGAAACAGAGGGGTTTGTGTGTGTGTGTGTGTGTGTGTGTGTGTGTGTGTGTGTGTGTGTGTGTGTGTGTGTGTGTGTGTGTGTGTGCAGGAGGAGGAGGAGGGGGAGTTGTTGGGAGAGAAAGAGAGACGTGGCTTGTTGTGAGGGAGCAGGAGAAGGGAGCCGGCTCAGGTCGGGTGTGGCGGAAAACGACAGGAAGGTGGCACTGTTGTCCAAGGTCTCTCATCCAGAGGTGGGACTGGACAGGACGGAGGAGGGAGGGAGGAGCTCAGAGGTCTAGTGGGTTGGAGAAGGTGGGGGTCTCCGACTGCCATGGACACACAAACGCACAAGAACAGATAGAAAGAAGAGAGGGTGGCAACAGGATGGATTAGTGTTTCTCATCTGTTTGCAGTTCATTTAAACTTAGTGATTATGCTTACACATTGTTATTTGTAAATTCATGCACATACACAGAAATACAGACATACTGTACCTTTACTCACACAGACAACCACCTATATCATGAGATGACACATAGAAAGAAACCCGAAAACACACCCAACATCACAAAGCTATCAGGCTCAATGCAGGTACTGTGTGTTTGCAGTTGAGGCCATATGCAGGCAGTATTACTCCATATTGTCAGTACAGTAGCATGCACTTGTACAGATTTACCAAGCTCTGTAACATCTGCCCTGAAAGGCATACACTTCTGAAAATTAGGTTACTATTAAAGAGTAAAGTAAAAATTGTTTAACATTTTGGGAAATGCGCTTATGCTTTCTTGCCAAGAGTTAGATGAGAAGATTGATATCATTCTCATTTCTGTACAATATAGATGAAGCTGCTACCAGTAGTCAGTTAGCTTAGTATGTTAATAATACCCCTTTTTCACCAAGGCAGTTTGAGGGCAGGTTGTAATCTTGAACAAGTTACTCAGTTTTCAAGAACCGGCTTGCAGGCCAGGAAAACTGGTTCCAGCGCTGTACAATGATTTTGGTGGTCTAGGACCAAGAACCTTTATGTCAGGCAGCGCCTTGTCGCCAGCCAGCTATGTATTTATTATCTGTTTAGTGGGCTACTAATTTCTCACATTGATGTTATGAATGTATCATAGATGTTATGAACATCTATGTTATGTTCTACGTTCATAACACAGATGTGAGCCAGCTAGGGTAACCTTGGTAACTATAACTAACAAAGAAAAAGAAGAAAGAAGAAAAAGAAGAAAGAAAAACAAAGCGGTTCTTAGGAGGTTCTCAAGTGGAACCAACTCTGAACCGGCACTAGGATCAGCCCAGAACTAGCACCAGGGGTATTAGTGAGCTTTATATATATATTAAGTGGATTTTGGGCAGAGCCAAGGTAGCGGTTCCCCTGATTCTAGTCCTGATTCTAAGCCAGCTGGCTACCAGCAGTCACTACATATTTACTGTAAAGATATAGTTGTATAGATCTTCTCATCTAACTAAAGCATATTTCCCAAAAATTTACAAACTATTCCTTTAAAAAACTATTTTCTCTGATGTTTCTCCTTTTGGCATGTGCTCATGACTACTTCTCACAGGTTGCCAACAGTGCTACGGGTGAGTGACATTCCCCTTTCAGATTGTTTCATTTCTATTGTTTTAGAGGCCTGAAAAGGTAAAAATATATTGTATTTCCATAAAAAAAAAGATCAGTTTGAGAATCTCCAGCAGCGCTACCTGCTCACTCGCTAAATGCTGTACTGAACGGCGATATTAACAGATACCATGACTCTGCAGGACAACATCAGACAGTGAGAGACAAAGTCAGGGATGGGTGGGATGTCATGGCATCAAATACAACAACATCGACACAAAAACATAAAAAATCTTTAAGTTTTGGACATTTGAGTTGAATCCAGTCTAACCCGCTGCTGCTTTATTCTGAGAAAATTCCTCCTTCACACATACTGACATACTGACATACCCACTCCAATAAATAAGTTAGTGTCAACCTCAAAAAGGCTCAAACACTGATGCAAACACACACAGGCCATCTGAACTGGGTGTGTGTTTGCCCCATGCAGCGCTCTGAGAAGAGAAAAAGAAAAGTGAGCAAAAGAAAATGGCATGCAGTGAAAGGATGCCTTCTGAGAGGAAGAGAAAGAAGGAAAGGTGGTGATGAAGATGATGATGATGATGATGATGATGAGGCGGACAGTACCCAACATACCAGAAAACGTTAGTCCTCATTGGTCAGTGATAGTGATTCTGTTGAAGGAACCATAGTCATGTGTGGGAACAGAGGTGTGGTGAGGAAAAGAGGGATGAAGAGGAGGAAAAGAGAAAAGGAGTGCAAACAGTTACAGTGCAGGAAATGACCAATGTCACATGTGCTCGGCTCTCACTTTGGACAGACCAGAATACGAGATGGAAAAAGTTCACTACTGAGGACTTGTGTGAGGATTTTGAGATCGTCCTTCATCTGATTTTGAGTCTGCATTTGCCAGTGAGAGCTTTGCGCAGCAACGTTCGTGTCTCCTACGGTAAAAGAGGCAAGCTGCTACTCTGACAATGAATTCAGAATAATAAAAAAAAACGTTAGCTAGCTCACAAACACAGGCAAGCACAAGGCGATTTTTCACAGGTGCAAAGGCACGTACAGTTAATGGAGAAACGGGAACAAAAAGAAAACCCAGTTTTTTTTTCTGACGCTCACTCCAGTCACTGACTTGCTTTAAAGCAGACATATGTTAATTAGTCGGATGAGGACAGCGGTGAGGTGGGTGTAAGCGATGAACATGAGAGTTAGCTATCGTTAGTGATGCTTGACAGCGTGTTGAAAGTTCAAAGTGGTGACAGAAAGGTACCGACAAGGTTAGGTGAAAGGAAGTACGCAAATGGTAACCCAGACCAAGAAAAAAGAAGGAACATACCCCATTGAGTTAGATCACAGTCTATCCATCTATTTAGGGATCTCTATCACTCTATTCATCTATCTTCTATCACAACCAGAGCTCTCCACTTCATTTACCTCCTTTATCCCCTCAGCCAGGTGTCTTCACATCCCCCTTAGTAACAGAGAGCATCCACACTTCAGGTTGGATAGCTTGTCATAGTATTATAAGCTATGGTTTGGTTGTCAAAGTCTTTATTAAACCTATTGAAACATACTGTGAAATACGTTGGGGTGAAGAAGGGTTGGTTGTTTCAAAGACCTCTCGTGTTTTTACTCACCTGGGCACACTTGGGGGTGCGCGATTAGGCCGGGAGGGAACAGTGGGCGGAGGCCCGCTGTAAGGGTCTGGGGAGGACCCCGGGCGAGACGGGACAGGGGGTCCCCCAGCAGGAGGAGGCCCAGGTGGAGGCCCGCGAGAGCCTGGGCGGTTCGGAGGTCCCGGTGGAGCCCTGCGGTTTGGAGTTGGACTGGTAGCTGGAGACCTGGAGGAGAAGGGAGGAGAGCATCAGGAGCAGCAACAAGCATTAAGTTGCTTAGCAGAATAATCATAGGGTAGTTGTTTGATGGTGTTCTTGCCTTCCTCAACTCTAAGGCCTGATCACTTGATTACTCCCTGAATTGTTCCATTTCTGTCCAACTTCTTTGCATTGCTTAAAACGTTTTAGTCTCCTCCACAGAAATTCATGAACCCTTTAACCGATCCATTAATCTCATCTTCAAGATATCTAACGAATGTGACCCTGTGCTATCAACTATCTGTTAGTCCAACCATCACCCATCCACCACGGGTCAAAATGAAACATTAAGATTGAGATAGAAAAGACGACCCCAATATTTGTCAAACATTGAGGACGACTACTGTCCTCCATGGGCAACTGAACCAAAGTTTTTGACCAGGCAACTACACTTTTAAGTACTCTGTAAGAAAAATATAACAGACCTGATTTAAATACAACGAAGCATGGAACCTAATATGGTGGAGGTGGTTACCCAGTGCATGTTAAGAAAACAAAAATAAAACAACCAATCTGATAATGGTTATATGTAAAGCTCATATTTTACTTGATAATTCAATAGCATTGACCCAGATAAATCAAATAACTTCAAGGGTTAAAAAACAAACCGATCCTCCTCCTCTGTCCTCTATATTCTCATCGTGCCTTACCTTCCTCCGGAACCACTCCGCTGCACCTGCAGCCAGGAGTCATCCACGGGTGGCGGCATGCTGGTGGTTATGGTGGTTGTGCTGATGTCACCGATGATGCTGAGGGCCTCCCGCAGGGCATGGTACATGCGCAGCATCTCGTCGCGGTGCTGGGCCTGCTCCTGAGACTCCTCCATCAGTGTGTTCTGGTCACCACACGAGTACAGCTGAGCCAGCAGCTCTGCATTGATGAACTCCTTAGTCTAAACAAAGAGAGAGAGAGAGAGAGAGAGAGAGAGAGAGATGTTTTGTGAGGAAAATTAAAGTTTCTATGTTTGGAGTATATATAAATACGAAAGAGCTGACGGTTGATGACTCACATTGTTAATCATGAGGTGCATGATGGTCTTCGGCATCAAGTCGCGGACGGTCTTGTTGACGATGGCCATGTAGGAGTCAACCAGGTTACGAATGGTCTCCACCTGCCGCTCCAGCTGAGGGTCCATGCTGTGCATTAAGTTGTCCGAGCCATTTTCATCGCCGTCACTCTGTGGAGACGAATAAGGGAGGGTGAACAGAAGACACAGAGTTTAATGTCAGTTTAGCTTCAGCAAGAAAGAGTTAGCACAACAGAGACTGCAGATACTACATACAAGATAAAAGTGAGGCACCATAACATTGGAATTATACAGCAAAGTGGTCTCTTTTCTTTCTTTTACAATTTCTATTTGATTTTATTTGAATTGAATCTGTATATTTTGATAATATTACAAGTATTGTATGTAGTATTAGTAATCATTTTTGATAAAAAATTAACTCTCCTGGAACTATATAGCACCAATTTTATGCTGAGAAAAGTCTGCTCTGAACAACTACTGAGTAACTACTGAATTAGTAATGTAAGATGTTAAATACATAACATCACATCATCAGAGCTTTAAAAAAAAAATTGTTTTAGGGTGAAACAGTATAGGAAAGACACAAAGATGATGACAATTCTTTATGCAGAGTGGCATACCTTTCCTTCCTTGTCCTATAAGGCCAAACAGCGATGAAGAAAACAAACATTGAAAGAGGACAGATACAGTGTCACATGAGAAACTTGACAACAATAAAATAGACTCCAAATAAACGTCACAACAACAGTATATACGCAACAAAAAAACAATCAACAAGCTTTACTTTTTGTTTAGGTTAATAATGTGTTTTGAATATGGTTTCATGTGCAAAGGAGAAATCCCAATTTACTATATTCATTCCTACTTTTGGCGTATGCATGCAAAAACAAAAAAATCTTACCGTGACGCGTTCAGGATAAACTCCAGCTCTGAGGAAGGAGGCCTTCCAAGCATCAATATCCTCCTGACTTTCACAGGCCAGCTCCAGCTGACGGTAGTCCTTGTACACGTTCCTGTGGACACACAATGAGATCAAAACTAAGCTCTGAACGATGTTCTCCATCTTTTTATATACTATTATTTTATAGCCAATATGTGTCAACTGAGCAGCAGTGTCAGTGGTGCAAAGTAACATTTACTTAAATACAGTCCTCATTATTCATTATACTGCTACACCACTATATTTCAGAGGCAAATATTTAGCTTTATATTCAATTACATTTATTTTACAGCTTAAGTTTGAGTTTTGTTTTGTTTGATGTTACAAATATATATAATATATTTAAGTCCTGCTTAGATGTTCAAGCTTAAAAAATTATATACAACAATATATTAATATTACGCTGACAAGAGTCATTCTGCATAATTAGCACTTTTATTTTTATTACTTTAAGTACATTTTGTTGCCAGCACTAATTAATAAGGACTTAGTTGTAAATGAGTATTTTCATAATGTTCTTAACTGAATACTGCCTTATATTAAGCTTTAAGACTCCATTATGACTTCAGATCTCTTTCTTAAAATTTTACACAGAAATCACATGAATCCTGAAATGTTTGTGGGCTGCAGAGCTAATTCTAATGGTAACAGTGTGTTAGTGTGTGTGTCATTTATAATGCTTGTATGTAGGATTCAGCATATTTCTGTACAACTGCACAATTTGTCTAACAAAGATTTAATCCTATATCTAAAAAAACACCACTGCAGAGTGATCAATAATGTTTATCTGCTGTGTATATGTATATTGATGTGTCTGGGGGTATAATAACACCTCTGTTCAGTGTTGAAGAGGGCAAAGATGTGCTTGCTGGACATGAAGCCCTTCTCCACATCCCGCAGCTTCAGGTTGTCCACCTGCAGCATGTACTTCTTCTCCTTCTCCTGCAGGAGGCGCAAGAGAAACACACGAGTTGTATATGTGAGGAAGAGAAAGAAAGAGACTGACTTTGCGCCATGAGTGAGGAATTTGCTTAAAGGGTAAAAACGGTCAAAGAGATTTACAGTGTTTGCACTGACATTGTGTACTGGACCCACATAAAAAAAAGATTTTGCATCACAATCATTGTGTTCTGATGAATTTACCACTTTATAAACTTAATAATTAAAGATTTTGCAGCATCAACTTCACTTGTATCGTGTCAATCGTAAAGAAACAATACCAGATTAGATTCAAAGGGACAAAAGGAAAGCAGATGAAACACACACATATTAAATTTAACAGCCCACAAAAAAAAGAGGAGAAGAAAAATGCAAGAGACACGAATGGGAAAGTCGTTCACAGACCTCGAGTCTGTGGTTTTGATTACAGTTGTGCAGAGTTAAAAAGAAAAAAAAAAGCGGGTTGGGGGGGCATAAAACAAATGAGAAACACACACACACACATAGAGAAAGAGAGAGAGAGAGAGAGAGAGAGAGAGAGAGAGAGAGAGAGAGAGAGAAACCGCGTTCCAGTGCAGAAATCTCTTGTACTTGTAAATCTGCACACAACATATGATATCCAGACATCCAACTATTTATGAATCAGGGAACCTCAAAGTTAGTCAGCTCAGTCTGACATATGCCAGCACTCTCTCTCTCCTTCTCTATCCCAGTGTCTCTCACTCACTCACTCATTCATACACACACACACACACACACACACATACATTGCGGTTAAACCTCTCAAAGTCTATTGTTACAAAATTAAGTTTCTGCATACGCTTGTGTGTGTGTGAATCTTTTACCATCGACAGTAAAATTAGTATTTTTAAAAAAAGGAAGCCAAATATAGCACAGGGTGAGTGAGTTTCTGTAAACACACACGCACACACACAAAAATACACACACGCTGCTTTGGTTGCAAACAGCACCTTTGAGCGTAGTCTCTAACTAACCTTAAAACCATCTGGATAGCTAACCACGGGCCTGCCCTGCCCAACCCAGTGTGAGTGTGTGTGTGTGTGTGTGTGTGTGTGTGTGTGTGTGTGTGTGTGTGTGTGTGTGTGTGTGTGTGTGTGAGAGAGAGAGGGAGACAGGAGGTTGTGTGTGTGACCAAACTCCTTCATCAAAGGATTTATGACCTGTGCAGCCAAATGGTCATATCCCCTAAATGCATGTAAAAACTCTCTTTCACACACACACACACATTTGGCAGCAGCGATACACCCAGGTGTCCACTACACGAAAAAACTAAATGAACAGTCGCCCCAGACTGCTGGATGCTTACATCATCATTTATTGTGGCACAGAGGGCAAAGAGGTCCCCGTACTCCACCTCTGGTTTGTTCAGTATTTCTCCATCTTTGGCTTCCTCCTTTTTCTCGCTCTCTCTTCCATCTTTTATTTTTCCTCTTTCCCCTTGTTCCCTCGCTCTCTGGCTTTCCCTCTCCCTGGGAGTGAGCAACCTTGGACTGATTCATACATTTTCCTCTCCTCTGGCCAGTAAATCCAGTCAGGAGAGTTGGGAAGGGAGGAGGAGGAGAGGGGGACTGGGGTATGAGTGTGTGCATGATGTGGGGAAAGTACAGAGAAACTGAACCAAAGCAGGGACGGAAAGGCAAACTAGTGTAGTGATAATGATAATACAGTAACAAACACTATGTGATTGTTTACTATTGATTACTTTTATTAGAAAAAGTTAGGAAGGATGTGTGAGAATGGAAGAATTAGATTTGATGCATCTGCAAACAACAAGAATTGTCAGAAAATTAAAAACTAATAAGAAGGCACACATGTATGAGTATTATTTCAATATTGCGTGCAGTTTTGACAGATTATCCAGAGGTTTTCTTTCTCTGTCAATCAGCCCAACTTGCGTGTGTGTGTGTGTGTGTGTGTGTGTGTGTTTTTATGTGTGTGGAAGTCAGGACTTGAGTGCTTTTCCATATGCTCCCATAAAAGCCATCCAGCAATAGCGGGCAAACGTACAGATTTCAGACGTTGAGTACACACACACACGCATACACACAGGACATGCAAGGCTGTATGAGATACATATGTATGTAGTACACACAAACACACACACACACACACACACACACACACACACACACACACACACACACACCTTTATTTGACCTTTATTCGCAGAATTTTACTTGCATGAGAATGTGTGTGAATGTGAATGAGCTTCCAGGAGACACACAAACACTGACACTGAGGTATGGATTTGTGATGGCTAAACCACTACTGGGTTGTCAGGAGACTTCCCCTCTGTTTGCAACCGTCACCATGGAAACAGCCTAAGTGTAATACAAACTTTCGTGTGTACTTGGTCAAGAGTTGGGAATGCAGAACAAGATTTTGAGAACATGTAAGAAGCAACTTGTGAGACGCAAACCAGTAATCTACTTACTGTAGTACTTTAGTGTTCTGTTTTTGGATTGTTGTATTATGTTTTAATTGTTGTATCGACTTGCCTCCTGTTGCTGCCTCTTGGCCAAGTCATCATTGTAAATGAGGACTGGTTCTCAATTGACTTGTCTTGTTAAAAAAACATAAAAAATACTGCTACAATACTAGAATTCTACCGTCCTTTGGTTTGCTGTGTGTCTATTAGCTTATGGTATTTTGATTTAACATACATTTATTTGTGCACATGAATAACCATGTCAGTGGAAATACAGTAATAGGTATTAAAACTAGATTTAGTTTTTTGTTTATAGTTAATTTTGTTTGTAAGGTGTGTGTATTACCAAACAAATTTGCAATTAATCAAATGTAATTGTTTTTACATAATACATAACTACAAAATAATAATTACATATTTTTTTATAACTACTAAACAATAGAATAAAAAAACAATGTGAGTCAATTAGTAATATTATTTAGAAATTAATAGACACTCAAAATGGACCTGCCAACAATGTTCAAATTTGTTGATTAGTTCTCAAAGCAAATTTCGTTTTGTTGCATTTGACATTGTATCACCCCTTAAAAAGACATCTTGTGCTTTGACTGACGAGCATAAAGTCATGTTTGTTATATTTAATTCACAAAGGACCTTTATTGACAGTTATTATCAATCAGCAGTAATGTAATTATTGTCCTTTGGGTCCTTAGGTCACTTTTGCAGTTTATTTATGAGTCCCTCCTGCGAGCTTCTGTCCATTTCTGGGACAGCCTCTTTCCACTGCTTCTGGAAGGCGCCGTGAGTGGAAATGTTTTGGACGATGTCATGTCCGTGGCGCCTCACGTCCGCTGCAGCATCCGCACATATTCTTCTCACAGCAATAAGGAAGCGTTTGGTGAAGCTCTTGTCACCTGTGAGGGTCCGTGTGGCTCCAAGGACTTTGCATAACTGGCTGAGGTGCTGAGCTGTGCTTGCTCTTACTGTAGTATTGTGGTGACTCAGTCCTGCATTCAGCAGTGTGTTCATGGTGCGACCAGGGCTGCAGTTTTGAACCATAGTGTCCAGTGCGAGATTTGCCTGCTGCTGAATTAAGGTGTCGGATTCAGACACTTTTAGTATCAGCATGCGGCCTGTTTGCTCCACCATGTCATCCATAGCCCTCTGGAGGTGAGCATACATCTCCCCCAGGGTGGCAATAGCAGTGCGGGACACCATCGAGTGCATGTTTTTAACCTCCTCCATGACACCCACACAGATTTTATAAAGTGTGGTCTTCAATACCTCCGGATGGTCCCTTGCCAGATCTTGAACCGATGTTAAACCATAAATTTTTTTTTGCAAGTCTTCAGAGCCGAGCAGTTTACAGATATGGTCCGAGCTTTTTTCAGGACTGGACAACAATCGCAGTCGCTGCTTGTCTTCATCAGTGTTTGAGCAAGATGGTCTCACTTGGGATGGTTGGAATGGTTTGGCTGTGGTAGAAGGAGGATGAGGTGTGAAAGTCCTGTCCTCATCCAGGTTTTCACAAGTCTGCTGGTCTACCTTGGACTTTTTCTGATTTCCCCATTCTCTGGCAATCAGATCAGCTACCTTGTAGGCTTCCTGCTTGAGATGATCATGCAGGGCCTTATTTTTCATGATAGACCAGAAGCTGTCTCCATCAAAGTTTTCACAAGTCATCTGGTCTATCTTGGACTTTGATGTCCTCTGATTGCCCCAATCTTTAGCAATCAGATCAGCCACCTTGTAGGCTTCAGCTTTAAGATGAGCATGCATGGTATCATCTTCCATAATGGACCAGAAGTTAACCTCATGAAAGATTTCTTGAGTCTTCTGGCCTCTGTTGTCTTTCCAGAAATAATGCAAGTTGTCTTGTTTCTCTTGATAATCCATTGTTAATGTCGACAGAAAGATGCACTTAACAGTCAATAATTTGAACTAACTCTTGACAGTTAGTGAAGTGAAACAATTATGTGTTCTGATCACAATGAGACATAATGCTAGAATGATGTAGTTCTAATTCCATGCACGCACACACACACACACACACACACACACACACACAGACACAGACACACAGACACACACACACACACACACACACACACACACACACACACACACAAACAAACACACACAATGTATATGGTTATTAAACCTGCAAAAGTATTGAAAAGTAAAATATAGCTACTCAATATCACCTTCATGAAGATAACAACTTGTTTTAGAGAGGTGATTATTCATTCATTTTCATTTTGGAGGCTACAATTGGTGGTGCTCTATTGTATTGTCAGTATGTTGTAAAGCAATACAATTGACCCTTTTTGTTCTGTGCTCCACTAACAGTTGAGAAAGCCTTGGTCAACTTTCTCCTTTCCTGTAGGCTACTTAGATATGTGCTAGATGCGTCTATGTTGATAAGACAACCACATTTTAAAGATGGTTAAAAGTCAGTCACATCTTAAGTTAGCAAGCTATGATAACAAAACTCTAGATAACTAGCTAGTTAATTTACATCAAGCGTTAGTTAGCTAATGTTTTCCCAACATGA